ATGTAGTATTATATGATATAGTAAATAATAGTCTGCAGTGTAGGTTGTAATAGTGTAGTCGATAGTTTAGCCCATCGTACGGCATAGTATAGTCTCGCTAAACTGCATGTTCGTGTGTTTTGGGTGTCGGACACAGGGCGTCCTTCAATGTTGGTGTGTCCTGGTCTGGTTCGACACGCCGTGTCTGTTTTGAAACACCCTCGTCGCCCCAACCCATTAACCCCATTAACTCAATTATTCTGGCCACATGGACTTGGGAAGCCCCAACCCATTAACCCACTAACCCGTTAACCCGCTCGTTCTGGCCGAATGGATTTGGCATACCCCAACGCATTAACCCATTAAGCCAATCTTTCTGGCCAAATGAACTTGGGCGTAGGGTCCATCCCCACTTGGGCAAATCACTGGGTCAATTTGTTGGGGCCTCCCAAGTCCATTTGGCCAGAATGATTGGGTTAATGGGTTAATGGGCTGGGGCCTGCCACGTCTATCTGGCCAGAATGATTTGGTTAATGGGTTGGGGCCTCACTTGTCCGTTTGGCCAGAATGATTGGGTCAATCTACAGAATTGTTTCGAAACAGACGCGGAGTTCCGCTTGAAGTACAGCCTCCTATGTAGCTCAATGCTCCAAGCACACAGTTGGATCTTTTGTTTGAGCCCATCAGCTTTGTACTTGGATCAATTTTCAGTCTGCTGCGCCAGGCAAGCCCCTGCCAAACAAGCATCTAAGTCCGAGCTCTTGGAGTGGATTGAGTAGTCTCTTCTCTTCAGATGCAGAGTGCTTGCATTCGAGCATAAGAGGTGACAAATTCCAGCTTGACGCTCGCCTGGGCCCATCCCTCAGAAGCTTGTAGATAGAAGTTGGCGGCTGAATTTGTGAATGATCAGGAAGTTGTCCCTCTCTCTCTTTGCACCGAAACTTTTCATGTGGAACGCAGCCAGAGATGAATGAGACGATGTGTCTGTTTTATGACCTCTGTGTTTCACTCTGTGACGTTGCATTTCATTATGAACATTGGGTGTAGCACGTCCTTTGAACCCCACCTTCAGCCAGCCAGAAGAAGCATCCGAGTGCCGAGCAGATTTGCTGATGTCCTTGATGTTCTTCTAGTTCTAGCGGCAACTATCCATGGAGGGACAGTCTCAGGCCTGAAGCCTACAACTGCTACAACCACTTGAGCCAGAAAGCCCTACTGAACAAGCTTCAAGATTTGAAGCCAAACTTGGATCCATGGACCCCTAGAGCCAAACCCGTGGGGCTTGATTCTCAAGCCATTTGCCTCAGCCCTCAGCTGGCCAACCTCTCTGGTGGCGAGCCCCTTGTCGGCTACCGAGTATTGGCGGCCACAGGAGGCCCGACCCACGGTTTCAGGCGTGTGTTCGGGAGGTTGGACTTAGTCTCTGCGGCCTCGAGTTGCCGAGGCTCCGCATCTCCGAGTCACAGGGCAAGGTAGTAAGGCTTTCAGCATGCTGAGGGCCCTTCCTGAGCGTGCAAATTCAGAGACCCAGCTTGATAGGAGCAGCTTATGAAGAGTTGGCCTCAACGCCCGGGGCCCAGAGTGGCAGCTCTGAGCGAGGATCCGAAGCCGATAACCTCGAAGCTGCAAAATGTGTCGAGTTCTCCCAGAGCTGCAAGAAAGGTCCAGCACAGCAAGCTTCATTGATCTTGCCGGTCTTGCTGGTCGGAAGCTTGGATCGGGAGGGCCCACTAGGGTTCGAGCGCTTGGGGTTTCCCAGCCCTTCAGCTTTGATTCGAGACTATAGCCTTCAGGTGTGAACGACCTACATGCATACACAGACCTGGTAGCTTTTGTTGCTTGTCGCAAATACGCTCAAATCTTGAGTAGAACTCTAGACCACAAGCCCCTAGTCGCATGCTTTCAGGGCTTCGCCTCAATCCAGGCGGGCTTCGTGTTCACTAGGAAGGAGAGCTGAAGTGGGGCACTCCCGGACTCCCCCGTTAGGGGTGGATCTTCCGGCCCAGGCGATGTGCTGTACGAGTTCAAGGCGCTCCCGGTATCCGTGGCGAAAATCCAAAACTGACATGAACTGACATGGAGATTTGTGGGTCCTACGGCCCAGAACTTCCCGGATCTTCCCAGCTTCCCCGTCTCTGTTTTGTCGGTGGCACAGCGCTTTCACGATAACGACTTGTCATGTCAGTCTTAATATATCGACCAGTGAGCAGGGCCTGTTTGCAGTGAGCAAATGGGTACTATGCCACTGATGGCTTTGACAGTTTCACGATACGGTAAATTCAACTGCGCCTCGCGAGATGTCGGGATAACCGTCCCAGTGCCAACAGTATGAACGAAGCGGAGACCAACAGTGACAGCAACTGCCTGAGCAACACGATTGCTTTTCATTCAAGCAGTTCAAGCAGCAGTCAGTTGCAAATAGCGGCTGCAGCAGTGGTGGCTGCAGCAGTGTGCAGCAAGAGCAGGCAAGTGCAGCAGTCGTAGCAGTAGCAGTAGTAGCGTGTAGTAGTAGTAGTAGTAGTAGTAGTAGTAGTAGTAGTAGTAGTAGTAGTAGGAATAGTAGTAGTAGTAGTAGTAGTAGTAGTCGTAGTAGCAGGAGTAGTCGTCGTCGTAGTAGTAGTAATAGTAGTAATTGAAGTAGGAGTAGGAGTAGTAGTAGTAGTAGTAGTAGTAGTAGTAGTAGTAGTAGTAGTAGTAGTAGTAGTAGTAGTAGTAGTAGTAGTAGTAGTTAGTAGTTAGTAGTTAGTAGTTAGTAGTTAGTAGTTAGTAGTTAGTAGGTAGTAGGTAGTAGGTAGTAGGTAGTAGGTAGTAGGTAGTAGGTAGTAGGTAGTAGGTAGTAGGTAGTAGGTAGTAGTTAGTAGGTAGTAGTTAGTAGTTAGTAGTTAGTAGTTAGTAGTTAGTAGTTAGTAGTTAGTAGTTAGTGTTAGTGTTAGTAGTAGTAGTAGTAGTAGTAGTAGTAGTAGTAGTAGTAGTAGTAGTAGTAGTAGTAGTAGTAATAGTAGTAGTGGTGTGTAGTAGTGTAGTGTAATGTAGTGTAATGTCGTGTAGTAGCAGTAGAAATCAGCAGCGCTAGCACACCCGCTAGGGCTGGATTAGGAGCATATATATATATATATATATATATATATATGTACACACATGTATGTATGTATGTATGTATGTATACAGCTCTATATATACACATACTTCTATACATATATACAAATATTCATATGTATATATATATATATATATATATATATATATATATAGATATAGATATATATATATATATATATATACATATGAAGTAGACATGTATGCGCGTATGCATGACATGTGTTTGTATTGTAGTGTAGTGTGTATGTACGTATGTACGCATGAATGCATGCATGTACGTTGGTAGGTAGGCATGTATACATGCAAACCTTCATGTACGTGAATGCCAACATAGGCTCTCACCCTCACCTCAAAACGTTAGACTCAGAGCTTCAGCCGTACAGCCCGAAGCCCAGAATACCCAAAGCTCGGGTTGCTAAAAGCCGTTCCGCCCTGGCTCGAAATGTCTTGATTTCTGCAGGTTCAGGCCGTGAGTGCTGCGGGGGATGGCGATCTGAGCCCAAGCCCCGGCGATCTCGTGACAGGTTCTGGGTTGGAGGGTTTGAGGGTTTGAGGGGTTCAGGGTGCGGGATTTTAAGCTTGTATTCAGTATCTTTTGGGAGTTGAATTCGTCTCGAGTAAGGGCTTGAAAGGCCCGAATCCAGGATTCGGGGTTTCGGGAGGGCGAGTCGAAGCCCAGAGCTGGGCATTCAGGTGAAGCTCTGGTGGTGCGCACAGGGCCTGTCCGGCCAAATGCACCCCCCAGCCCGGAGGCGGGCGTGAGATCCGAGCCGCGGGCATATACTTCTGGTTTGAGGCAGCTGGTTTGGCCTCAGGTTGCCGTTGTAGGTTTCGAACATCCTGGTGTTTGTTGTCGGTTCGGGCTCAGCGAACTGGATCCTATGCGTCCTTTTCGGACCCCTGGCTTCCTCCCGGAGTGAGCCTTCACGTGCCTAGCGAGAGTGTTGTTGACTGCTTGAGACCTTGCATGAGCAGGTTGTCGTTGCTTAAGGGCCCGAAGTTCTGAAGATGTGAGTCGAACTCTGTGCCGAAGGCGGTGGGCGTTGGCCAGCTGTGCACCCAGAATTTCGACTCGTCATTTCAAGCGCCGTTCTTTGGTTCTGGGTGCTTTGGATTTGGGTTTAGCTGAGGGATTGGGGCCTACGCTCAGACATGTTACCAGATTTGTATCTTCCTCCGCAATGTTCGTCAATCCGGAAGCACATGCGACAGCTCAAACTCTACAACTTCCGGGCAAAGCCGCAAGAAGCTGTGTCGACTCGTGCGCGGGCCTGTTGGCTCGAGAGCTGCGGCGGTTTCGGACAGCATGTGGTACTTTCATTTGCATCCTTTTCAGCCCTAGCGCGATCTGACCTCGAGTAATTATGAGCATCCATATACAAGATGTGCCTGTATATGTCTGTGTGTATGTCTGTAGGTGGGTATGTAGGTATGTATTTGAGCATCTACATGGGTATGTATGCGCGTATTGTATGTATGGATGTATGTATGTACGTGTGTATGCACCTTATCGTTTTTTGGGGCTAGCCTGAGTGTTTTAACTCAGCACAAAGGATCAAAGCCAAAAATACAGCAGCAGCCGACAAGTACCTGTTTGCAGTCCATGCAATTGCATGGAGTTTGGCATGACATCATGCCACCTTTGCTAGGGCAGCTGTTTCGAACGATCTTGGCGTATGTTGCTATGATGCAGTTTATTCCAGCGCATAACAAACATGGCTTTGTGCAAAGTAGAAGTTTCTCTTGCACACAGAAGCCTTAGAATGCAGACATATGTATACATGCCTACATCTGTCCATGTCCCTCTCTCTCTCTCACTCTCTATGAAACCTTGCCCAGGCCGTGGAAGTGTCGAAACGACGGTCAGCCCAACCCCAAACAACAAATTTTAATCATCGTAGACTCAGTTTGGGGAGACGGCG